GTCCTAGATTTTGTCATCACACAGTATAACATTTCATTGGAACAGGAAGCTACCATGAATCCAGGCAGCATGGGTACAAGTTTCACCGTGTTTAACATACAGGAAGTTCAACCAAAGCCTCAAAATGACCAGAAAGATCACAACAACATTCATTTCCAATCCACATTATCTCCGGCATTAGAAAATCTAAATCTCCCCTACGACATCTCAGCTGACCGGATCCACCTCTGCAGTTCTCCCATGGACTTCTCTAGCTACAACCCTGAAAACAAAACTAAAAATGATATGTTCTTTGAAAATCACCCGTTTGTCTCTCCATCAGCAGTGGATAATGGCCTTCAAGAGATGGATCCAATGTTGCAAAGTTCCATGATGTCAAGTGAAGCAGGGGTACTTTTACAAGGGAATAGTGATAAGGACACGGTGAAACCGGAGAATGGACGATCTGATTCTGTCTCAGATTGCAGTGATCAAATTGATGATGAAGATGATGGAAGGTACAGAAGGAGGACTGGATCAAAGGGTCCTCAATCCAAGAACCTTATGGCTGAGAGGAAAAGGAGGAAGAAGCTTAATGAAAGACTCTATACTCTTCGTTCCTTGGTTCCCAAGATATCCAAGGTATGAACTCACCTTAGTTTCTTGTTCTTAAGCTTTAATTGTGGTGATGACTTAATCCTACAAAGAGAATATTGTGGGAGTGAAATAAGTGCTATGTTTGTGTTGGGGGTTGGCACGGAATGTGACGATTTGACATTTTTTTTTCAATATCTAATATATATGCTATACTTCTACATTCCTGAAATGTTCTTATTCTTTAATAATTATCAGTTGGATAGAGCTTCGATCCTTGGAGACGCCATTGAATTCATGAAGGATCTACAGAAGCAAGCAAAAGAACTCCAAGACGAGCTTGAAGAACATTCAGATTTAGATGATGACAGAGGAGCTAAGAACACATGTTCAGTCCTTAATGGTGTTCGAAGTGTTAAACATCCCTGGGGTAATATTCAATCCGAGAGCTTGATGCAAAATGCGGTTCCAATGGATCCCAAGTCAGAAAATGAAAATGGCTCGAAGCAAAATCTAGATTCAGAACATGTTGATGACAAGACACAACAGATGGAGGTACATTAATTCAATGATTTTCTTTGCTCTAAATACCATTTTGTGAGTATATTTCAAAATTTGATACAGGTTCAAGTGGAAGTAGCTCAAATGGATGGAAACAAGTTCTTTGTTCAGGTATTCTGTGAGCATAAGCCTGGGGGATTCGTAAGATTAATGGAGGTCTTGGATTCATTAGGACTGGAAGTAACAAATGCAAATGTGACCAGTAACTTAGGCCTTGTGTCTAATGTCTTCAAAGTTGAGGTAACAGACTAATTTCAACGGATCTTGGTTGAGGTTCAAACCTTTGATCCCGTTATGACCTTTTTCTTTTTCTATTTTTGGTTTGGATATTCAGAAAAAGGACAGTGACACGGTTCAAGCTGATCATGTGAGAGACTCTTTGCTAGAGCTAACCCGAAACCCTTCGAGGGGATGGTCTGGTTTGTCTAAAGCCGCAGAGGGCAATAGTGGAACTAGCGACTGTCATCATCACCACCAGCAACACCTCCACATCCACCACATTAGTTCCCACCACAACCTCCTTCATCACTTCCATAATTAAAGAAAGAAATATCTTCCTTATAAAGTTTTATATGAACATCATGACTTTGTATCTCAAATGTCTTTGCACATTTCATTATTTTCTGTGTTTTGAAAAATCAATTCATCTCCATTTGGAACATACAAACAATGAATCTCTTACAGCAATAAAGGGATGAAAAATAAGAGTTTGAACAGTAAAAATTTTCCATTTGCTTCAAAATTTGAGCAGAACTCCACAAGCCAAAGGGTAAATTCCCAAAGTCCATCTTTCAAAGGCATGAGTCCTACAAGAATTTGATGATGATACCTGTGGGAGAGGAGATGTTGGTGCTTCAGAGGGTGCTTGGTTCACATCAACGCTGAGCCTCATCCCACCAAGGCAGTGTCCAGTAACATTGCAGATGAACCAATATTTCTTTACTTCAGTCAGGTTCACTTTGTCATCACCAGTATCATACTTTGCCAGCACTGTTTCATTGCTTGTTTCACATGAACTATATGCAGCTTGTGTTACCTCATATACATTATGATTCTCCTTAACATACTTGAATTCTACCCAAAATAAGCAAAATCTCAAATGAGCTTGTAATTCAGATTTATACCAGAAAAAGATCGAAAATGGGCATCAGAAGAAAGGAAGGGTGTGTAAATGAAAAGAGATATTACCTAGAATGTCACCAATGTTGAAATTGTATTTCTGAGACCATTTGTCATAATCTACCTCACTATTCCACCCATCCTCATCACCAACTGAGTAATTTTCAGCCCTAGCACTCTTCAAGATCAAGAAACTGATTATAAGTATGATTGAGAACCTGCAATATTTTCTGAGGATGTTATGATCTTCCATGACTATGGAAGTGATGAAATGATGAAAGAATGTATGGAATGAAATTATCATATATGTGGGGGGTGTGCGTGTGTGTGTTTATATTGTTTTTGTTAATTTATATTGTAGGAAATGTCCATTATATCAGACACAAGTGGCTATAAATGATATAATTAAAGTGGAATGGATCGTTAAAATGTTGAGATAGCCATGTGCTACTCCAAGGTCTAGTAGAAGTCAATCAACTTATTACACGCATAGATGAGACCTTTTGAAGACACCCAATAACTTTACAGCAAGGACACGAAGGTCCATTGTGAGACGGTATTATTATTTGGTCTCTGCAATTTCCACCCATGATGCAAGCAATTGATGGTAGGTTGCTTCAAAGTTCAGACAAAAGATAAATTAGGATTGTGGCTTTGCTTAACAAGGAAAGAAACCGGCTTTGTTCGATACTTCGAAAAAACTTTTTGTTTTTAAATGAAGATAAGAATTTGTTTCATAAGACATACATATTTTATATTTACGTTTGGTATAGCCTCCAATTAATTTGTATGAACTTTAACTCTTTAAAATTATAATTCCTCCTCAATTGGCCTACCAATTTCATGGATTTATAAGGGTAATAGGTTGAATATTTATTGGAAAAGAGGTCTTTCTTATTAATGACCCGAATTTTTAAGCGAGCTGGGCAGGGCAAGGACTGGTTGGAAGGTTGGATCAACGTTTGCAAGATCTATCTGTGAGGGCATATTTGCATTTCAGGAAAAAGTTCAAGGGCTGAGTGGCTGCCTCTTGTCAAGTAGGTCGAGGAGGGCCCAGTATCGGGTACGGGTATATCTTATATATATAGATACTTGATTTGTTTGAATAGGTTATTTACCTATATTTGTAAAAAGATAGTTTTGAGTAGGTATTGTACATGTATTTGTAAAAAAATAGTTAAATATTGAATATAAAAAATGCATACATGTTAAGTATCATGTAAGTATTAGGTATGAGAGTTAATATCTACATATCTGACATATATACTTTGCTTGTATATCTGATTCATATACTTATGTTTTAATTTTATATGTTTAATTTGTAATATAATATTATGAAATTAAAACGTTTATATATTTTTTTTTCTTTTTTTTTAGTAGTGAAGATTTAACTGAAAGGAAAATCACATGGATTTTTTTTGTATTACTTTTGTTATT